TGACCCTCCCACCCCAACTCCAGTTGGGAAACGTGGCCGGGTGGGAAGGGCTGGCTGAGTTTGTATGGCTGACCTGGCACTCTCCCATCCCTTCAAAGGAAGATGGCTACAAAGTCCTATTTTTTAAGGCCTCCAAGGAATGTCATCTAAAATTCTTGACGTCAATACTGGTATTTAATAATCCTCATCATTATCAAATTATTCCTTGTGGAAAATGAACAGATTTTTCTGTCTTTTTTCCCTTTTTCTGGTTATATCTTCTTTCGAGAAGCTCAGCTGACAGATCTTGTCACGGCCTCTACCGTAATGGATGCCGATGAATCCCACAGCTTTCTCCTTTCCGACCTGAGCTGTCCTCATGCTTTAACGCACCTCCAAAGGCCCAATTTTCCCTCCTTTGTATCTTGATCTTTCATAAAATAGCCTCCAACGTTGCACAGAATTTAATAACAAAAACACACACACGAAGACCATAGTGGTAGAATTATGGCCAGAGTCTTGAAAATAACAATTCTGTAAACATAGGCCAGCATCACTATTATGTTTTTGATAATGCTAAATTAATCATCTTATTCTACTTGTACTTCATTAGAAATCCCCCTTTCAAAATCCCTGGAGATGGAGAGTACATGCACCATGAATGGAGACAATGTATTTGAGGTATAATTGCATTTGACGATGGTCACGTAGTCATTTTCTGCTGCGGCAGCAGACATTGTCACCTCCTACTGACGAGACACCATCCCTCTCAGTGCTTGTCACCAAGACCCAACCTTCGTTCAACGTCTTGCAGCCTGGTGCTTCCCCGCCGCAGAGGGTGAATCTCTTTTAGTGTACATCAACCACAGCAGTCTCCTTCCCCAGGGATCAGCGTTGGAATGGGTAGGGGACCCTGTTCTGGTCAATGAGAAGTGGGGCAGAGCTGGAGGGGGCGGATTCTGGGACTGTTTGTATCACTCCAAAAAGGTACCCAAGGAAGAGTGACTGTCTTTGTGGGATATTATTACGGGAAGATATGCTGTTGGGAGCTGCTCTGAGCATCTTATAAGCACGAGGGGATGACACTGAGATAAAAGCCAAGATCCTGAGGATGGCTGAGTGGAAAGAGGAAAAGCTCCTGTGCCCCTGATGATGTCACCGAGCTGCATAAGTAATCCAACCCTGAACTTCTTGTTATGTGAGATAATAAACCCCTTTACTAGTTTTACCCCTGTAGTGGTTCTCAAAGTGTGGTCCCACACCAGCCACATCAACATCACCTGGGAAATCATTAGAAATGCACATCTGGGCCCCTCTCCACACCACTGAGAAAGAAGTCCGGGAACCAGCCCAGCGACCTGGTCTAACACCCACTCCAGGTGATTCAGATAAGCCCCAACGTTGGAGCACCACCGGTCTAAATCACTGGCTGACTTGCAGCTAACACACCCTAACTAACACAGCCACTTGTAAGGATTTCATGTGTCTTTTCGGGGAAACTCCATCAATCAATTTGATGTTTTTATGTCGAGGTCATCTGAGAACTGACAATGTTGTGGATGGGAAGGTCTGGAGAGATGGCAGCAAGCTGTACTAATCTGATGCGAGTTTGGGGCCACCCAGGTGGGCTGGACAAGAAAATTTAGTAGCTTTTAGAGTTCCCAGGTGGAAAGAGGGCGTTCTAAAATAGAGAAAAAGAAAACTTAGGAGTAACAGCTCAGATCACAGGAACTAGAGAGCAGAATTTTTTCTGCGTGCAGTGGCAAAGGCCATGAGTAACCTGAGCGTTCAGATGGATTCAAGGAGAGTAGTTTTAGCATGAAATCAAGGAGGTGCTAACGACAAGCAGACAGGAAACCACCAAATTGCTACGCAGGGTCTTTGGGGACTGTGGAGTGAACACAGGCTGAAGAGAGAAGAGACCCAGCTGGAAGAACAGAATCTAACTCGACCCTGGAGGGACGGTCAGTGTTTTCAAACTGCCAAGCACATGAGATTACACGGTTATATCATCTAGAGATCACTGCCGAAGCAAGAATCATCAGCATCATATTTCACTCAGTTGTGCTAATCAAAGAAATGAGGAAGGGGTGCACTACTGAGGTGATGATGAAGAGACATTGCATACTTCTAGCAGCAATTCTGCCCTTTATCCTCCAACTGGTGGCATCAGAGTGGCTATGATAAATAAGTAACGCTGGCTTCACCCAAATACTAGTACACCTAGTCAACCCAGATGCCAAAATGAATGAAGTCTGCCCAAGTCAACCCCAAAACTGGCTAAGTGATATTTAACCTGGGACTTCAAGTGGGACTAGCTATGACCTGCAACTCAGCTCAAAGACATTAGACTCTTGGATATGATGACGGTAATTTTAGGGTAAAATGGATGCAGAATATGATGAGAGCGCCATGAGCCAACGTTCATCTCTGAAGCTGACTACCGAGACCATCAATGGGTCAGAACCAAACTCCTCTAAAATCAATGCAGCGGGATCTTGATCCTTCACCTCTTTACATCCTATAACACTCAGCATTCTCCTAAAGTTTATCAACTGGTTTCCAGTGAATGTTCCCAGGATCTATGAACCTTTGAAACACCACTCTTCGCTTCTTCATTTACAATTGGCTCTTTGGGGTAAATACATTTGTCGATTCCTACCTTACAAGACACCTCTAGAATGACAGTCATTATTTGCCCTTTTCATTAAAATTTTAAGATTTCAAGGATAGCAGACTTTGCAGATAATGCCTCCTTCTCTGTGCCTAATAGAAGCCCTCAGAACAATCCAACTAGGCAGGAACAGGCCACACCGTCACCTACAAGTTCCCAAACACCACACAGTGCATGCCAGTCTTGTAATTTAAAAATCATCTCCCAAATTGCTCTGATTTTATTTGTTCACAAGAGATGAAACCCACGTTACTGCATTATTGTAATTTGAGGGTAAAGCGGATGTATAAAAAATTTTTTTTCTAACAAGGAAGTAGTATTGTCCTTGATAAAAATCAATAGGCATCATTTTTCTATTTTCTGCCTCCTAAACTGCACCTCCTGGCTCTGATGACTTTACTTCTACGTATCCTTGAAGTACACGCTGGTGTCTCTTTCTCACACGTGCATCTCGGGAGGCAGCACGGCAGGGTGCACAGATTCGGGGGCTGTACTTCTGGTTAGATTCCTGGTGGCTCTGCCGCTCACGAGCTACATGCCCTCTGACAGGTCACATACGCTCTTTCTGCCTCAGTCTCTCATCTATAAAAGGTTTTTAGGAAATATAAAGGCATTAATATTTGTACAACATTTAGAGCAGCATCCACCACACACCCACCATACACATTTGTATAGCATCCTGCTATACAAACATAGCAGGATCTATGTTTTGTAAAGTAAACAAAATCTTTTTTTGTTTTATTAACACATTTACTTTTTGTAAATTTTGTGACTTGGGGAGTATTATCTGGTTTCCAGAATAAAAATTTCAAAGTTAAAAGGTAGCAAAGTATTTCTAAGAGCCTCATATTTACTTATTGACCCCAAAACACCAGAAGTAGAGTGGCTTTAAGTTAAACTCAGAATCCACACAGAAAACATAACCTCAAGACGTGATTCATTTCATAAATAATGTATTTTATTTTATTGCATATGGCTATTAAGGAGAGCATCCACGATCAATACAGACTAAATACAACGCACTACTCTAGCTCCACTGATTCTCGTCTCCAGCAGCAGCACGTGGACCCTATATACAGCGTGTACAGTGGAAGACAGAGCAAGATAAGGTAAGTCTTCTGTCATATCACAATAGCAAGAAATATATTTAACATCTTGATATCCAGAAACAATACGTACCCAAAAAGAAAACACTGTTTAATAACTGTTAAAGTTTATATAGCAAAAAATATTTTAAATTTAAGGTAAGTCAGGCAAAATGTACAAAGACCCAATATACATTGTCAAGTTTTAGCAAACATAACATTTATACATTTTGGTTCCATTCTGTAAACTAAATTAAAAATGTAAATATTGCATATGCCTTTTTTTTCTGAAATGTACAGGATAGAGGACAATTTAGTATATTATCAACTTTTTATTTTGCTTGTTTCAAGTTGCAGTACGAACATGAACCATGTGTATAGTGGCATGACTACTCTAAGTATAGAGAACTACTTAAATACACGTCATACACTGTATTCAGCGGGGTCCATATTCAGTCCTATTGTACCCGGCGGAGTTACATAGCAAACACCACCCATCAATTCCCATTCCCAAAACTAAATCAAAACTTTAGGACATTTTATACATTTTAATAAAGTATATATATTATACACTGAAATTGACCTTCAAACTAACATTGTCTGGTCTATGCACTGTTGTGACGTGTAATTTTAGAAAAGTAAAAATTTAAAAATGTTCAGGGGCATCACTTTACATTCAACTTTGTCTTGCAATACAATCCTCTGTTCTAAAAGTTCAGCGTGGAAGCAGGAAGACTTTTGCATTGCCATTAAATATATTTTTAAGACATTGAATTTTTTGGTCTTCCTCTAAAAAAGCCTCATTTTATTAATGCATTATTCTATAGTGATATATATCTATATATTTATATATATTTTTCTCCAAAAAAAAAAAAGAAAGAAAGCTCACATCTCCAATGAATTAGTGTAACCTCCACACGACTGTCAGAGAAGATAGGCATGGGGACGCACCCACGGGAGGGAAAGCTCCACAGCCTCCGTCACGTGTCAAGGGAGCAGCGAGATGACAGGACATTCTGCTGGTCGAGGGCAGCAGTTCTGGGTGATACTTGCAATAATTGCCACAACACTGATATTACTCTCAGAACACTGAAAACATCAAACAAGGCTAGGTCTTCTTTCTCTTTTTCCATTAATAACATGGGGGCCGGAATGCCTCTTTTGTGTTTCTTTCCTTTCCGTTTTTTTGTGTTGTTGTTGTTCTTCAGAGCAGCCTCACTGGCCGACATGATCACATTATAGTAAAGATAATACATTTTTTAAAAAACCTGCCAAACCCGTGACCGCTCTTGGATCGCCAGCGTGCCTGCGCGAATTTTTGGTTAAAGAAACGCAAGCTCAAGGTTAAGGACAGCAGAGACGTTTGAGCTTGTAAATAGGAGCAAAGGCTTTTGCAATTTGAAGTACCTACATGAACACCTACAGAGAGAAGATTCAACAAGTCTGTTAAAGGTAAAAAGAGATATTCACCCCCTTCCCAAACCCCTCCCCTCCCACCCCCACCTACCCAATACAGCTGATGATTTTCAAAAGTAGGTTGCTTTAGTTACATATAATAATTATTATTTATTAATCCACTTCAAAGTCCAATCTCAGATTTCATTTCCGTTGAGAAAAGTCAGCCCCACACTGGGCTCTGTCTGTGAGTAAGCAGGTACCGGGATGTGAGTCCCACAAGCAGCTGTGTACGGAGCCAGTTTAATAAGGCTGATGACCACACTGGAAACACATTCAGCACAGACACACAGGAGGTCTTGCCGGCCCCCGACCACGCAAATCCAGCTTCACCTGGAACTGAGGTAGGACTGTGGTAGTTTTGAGTGTATGCCAGTAAATACCAGATTTTACCACTTTAAGGGATATTGGTAGAATCTCCTAGCATGCTGAGGGATAAATTTGCTTTGCCAAAATGAAAGTAAGAAGAAATTAAGACACTGGCCCCCATTTAACAGGCCAATGAAAACATCCAATTTTCTTGAGAATGACTTCTTCAGCGAATTTTGTTAAAAAACAAAACACAACACAACACGAACAGCACAAGGAGGAATGCCCCCTATGGGAACAAGTGGGAGGCAGGCGTCCTCGCCTTGGTTCCATGTCCCATACAGTCACAGATGTTTCAAAACGTAGCCATTGCTCAGACCCAAAAGAAAATTGTAAGCAGCTTCAGATTAAAAAATGCTGAGCATCTTCTTTTAATGTTATTCTCTGACATGTGACGTTATCTGATAAAGCCAGACAGACCTTCACTCTGAAAAAGAAAGGAAAGGAGTCATGAGTGGCTGTCTCGAGAACACAGCAATCTTTAGAGTGAGAGAAAAAGTCCCTCTCCACTCGCCCTTATGATCTGTGTCACTTTCAGAAAGTGATGCACTTTGGGAAGCAAACATTTCCTCATTCCGTTTTCCAGAAATAAGTTCGATGGGTCAACGCCCATTCGGTTTCCCTGGAAGCAGAACTACTAAGTTTATAGTAAGTGGCGAGGTCTTATGGTGAGGTTCGTATTTTCAATTTAAGAAAACTATTCACACGTGCTTTTGTGAGTCATTCCGTTGAAGGAGCCGTGGAAGGATGACGCTACTCTTCAAAGAGAGCAGCTGTGCGACCTGGCCACGGCCCCTGGAACTGCCCAGGCCTCGGTTCTTCGTGTGGACTGTGGGAAAAACCACTGCCTTCTTCACAGGGCTGCCGAGATGAACACATGACACGTGTTCAGGTGCGCTGTAAACTGCACTGATTATGCAAACGTGTATCATAGTAAGAAGTGGGAGAAGTAATGAGGGCACACTGCTGCCCTCAGAAAACCTTTCCAACAGGATAATCTGTCCTATTCCTAAAACGACCCAAGATTTCAGAAGCTCCTCTGGCAGCATGCAGATTGTCACACACCCTCCTCATCTGCCTGCCTCCCCGTGGTCCAGATGAAGCAGTCTACTCTCGAGCTAAGCTCGGTGAGGACTTGGCATTAGGACCCCGGACCTGCTCTAATTGCTTCCTCCCCTCCAGGCTGAAGGATCAAACTTCCTTAACCTTTTCCCAATTTCCAACGTTTTCAGCGTATTTTTACTTGAAGTGTTCCTTGTTCCAGGGACCTACCAACTTGGGAGACTTTGACATTTCATAGCATATTGCCTTTTTTTTTTAAAGCTTCTTGGCTTTTTAACAAAAATGCCAAGTTGTCCATTTTCATCACTCTCCACAGTAGTAGATACTCGATCACTCGTGAGCACGGGTCACGCCCTGTCTTCCTACCTCTGCGGCTGTGTTTACGTGACCTGCAATTCTGAATACTCCTAGAGAATTATTTAGAATTCTAATCCTCGAGTCACCCCATTCCCTGGTTGACTTTTTTGTGAATCTAATTCTTTTCTGTTCATCTTGAGTTCATAGGACTGATCCCAGCAAGAGAGAAACTTCCAGTGTGTCCTGCAGCCGAGTGTGAGTGCAACCACGTGGCTCTGCACACCCGGCGGTCCCCTGGTACAAACTCAGGTGCCGCGTGGTGTGTAGAGCCAGAAAACGGAAGCCTGTATAGACACAGCGCTGTCAACGTACAATGGATAAATTGTATCTTTTTATGACTTTCTTTTTTTTGGAGGAAGACTGGCCCTGCGCTAACATCTGTTGCCAATCTTCTTCTTCCTCTTTTTTCTCCCCAAAGCCCCAGTGCATGGTTGTGTATCATAGTTGTAGAGCTGTAGCTCTTCTACACGGGATGCCACCTCAGCATGGCTTGATGAGCGGTGAGTCTGTCTGTGCCCAGGATCCGAAACAGCGAACGCCAGGCCACCGAAGTGGAACTCGAGAACTTAACCGCTACGCCACAGGGCCCGCCGTTTCATGACTGTTTTTAAACGTTCCCTACGATGTGACAATTTGAGGCAGCGTACTTCATCTCACTATTTTTAAAAAGCCTTACATCCTTTAAAAAGTTTAACAGGTAAACTATTCTGCAAATGAAACTTAACAGAAAACAGAGTCCAAAATCTCCTCAGGAAAGATGTGTCCTCCACTATTTCATTCATTACTGTTGTGATTTCCAGTCTAAGAGACCAGTGAGAACTTGAACGTTTTCATCCCTTAAAAAGTAAGCCTTTGCTAAAATCCACCAGGATTTGCGTCTCACCCTAAAATGAGTTTGCATTTTGTCACCAGGGCCCTGATTGTGAGACGAATCCAACGGCCACCCCAGAGTGGGACTGTGGATCCACTTAGAGAAGGATTTCTATTCATAGTTTATTTTATTTTTACACTAATGATAAGCTAAATGTGGCTAAATTGTCTTGTGTTAACTCTAAACTCATTGTCTTGAAAACAGCTAAGCAAGTTAAGTTCTTTAATTCCTCAAACTTAAACACATAGTCATATAAATGGGGGTTAATTATTGCTGAAAAACTTACTTTCCAAATTTCCATTTGCAAATTCATGGGGCCACACAAAGATTCACTCTGTTTTTAAGGATGCTTCATTGCTATGAAACAGCTCCTATCATCAGGTCTGTGTGAGCTCTAATCAAGCTGAATGTGTAATTTTATTTTTTGAAGTATGATACTATTATCAGAACCTTAATTTCTAAGCATTAGCATTAAGAAAGAAAAGAGCTGATAAAAGGCAAGGATATAACTCATCCATGCATTTATTCACGCACTGACCTTTCAACGCTCTTTTTTTTTAAATTCTACTCTGGTGCAGGGCCTCATTGAGGCACACGGGATATTCGTGAGTAAGAGAGAGTTCCCACCAGAATGCGAGTCATAGGACTGCTATTCTCTTGGAAGGGAGTGAAAGCAGCCCTTCGAATGTGCCCAGCTCTCTGCAAACACCTGGATGCTGACAGACCACCGGGCTGCGGGTACCAGCCAAGTGAGAAAGCTACCGCAGAGGTGCCACAGAAGTGAAGGTGGCAGCAACCCAGTGACCCGATCCCATGTCAGGACAGTAGGGAACACAATTCCCCAGGATGCCGAGACCATGGGCCGAGCAGCCCCAGCCTCTATGGAAAGGAAGGAGCAGGGACATGATCCTCCACGGGGACCAGGGAGAGCCACCGGTGACTGGGGGAGGAGGCTGACCACACACACACACAAGTGCCATCACAGGGAGAGGAACCTGTCCATGGCACGTGGGAAGGATGCGAGCAGGGACATGATCCTCCACGGGGACCAGGGAGAGCCACCGGTGACTGGGGGAGGAGGCTGACCACACACACACACAAGTGCCATCACAGGGAGAGGAACCTGTCCATGGCACGTGGGAAGGATGCGAGCAGGCTTAGGCCAGGGGTACCAGAAAGAGGACGGCCACCAGCTCAGAGACAGACATCTAGGCACAACGTATGCTGTGCTTCAAACACAGTTTTAAATTTATAGACGTGCACTAGAGCAAAAGCAACGTGGACGTGACCTGTCTCCTACTGGGTTAAATAACACCTGTTTTCCAGGGATGCCTCCTGTCACAGCAGGGACAGACTGAGACCTGAGGCCTCCCCACGGCCGTGGTACGTCAGGCCAAGCACCGAGCAGCCTGCGCTGACACACCTGCGTTTACCACCGACTGGCCTGAGATCGTCCCCCACGTGCTGAGCCGGGTCGGGAGCCAGTTCGAGGTCTCAGAAGTACCCACGCCAAAGGTGAACAGAACTAGCCACCGACCAGAAACCCTCCGAGTTGAGGCTCAAAAGAAGGGGAGCCAGGAAAAGGCGGGGAGACCCTAGGATGGGTCGAGATGACCTGCTGAGCAAAAGGTTTCGGACAATGAAACGTAAACACTAGGAACGCACTAGAGAAAAGGGATCTGCTTTAGAGCCCTAACTATAGTCTTGAATCTGTTACAGACAGAGGGCTGAGACAGAAGCCGTCCGCCTCACCTGACATATGAACACCCTTTCCAGTGTGAGCCGGCTGTGAGAACCTGGCACATGTGCTCGCCAGGGCTCCGGACTCGGACCACTAGGAGGGAACCAGCCCAAGGAAGGGTGTGGTCGGAAAGAGGCCTGGAGGGCTCAAAGGATCAGCGCACCACCACTGGGGCTCAAGCAGACGCTCTGCCGTCAGGCAGGGCACCCCGAGTCAGACCCCCGGTCCTGGTCCTGCGGCCACCTGGAAACCACACCCTCGGTGGCACTCCCCATCCCCAGGAGGAAGGGGAGGGAGGCAGGAGCTGGAACCTAGGACTGTGCACACACATCTGCCTTTTAATTTACTCACTTTTCAAGTAAGTTATCCCTCCCCTGAAAATTAGTCTGGTTCATGCAGACTAGAAAAAAAGTCCTCTAACACCACTAACCTGACATCCTCAACCTTTAAATATTTATGCTTCCTAAAGACGAGATTCCAGCAAAATTTTACTTTATTTTATGTATGTTAATTCTACTAGAAGCAAAGAACAAATTACTAATTTTATGATCAATCCACAATGAATATTCATTAAGATGAGAGACGTTCTTTGAACTCATTAGACCAGCGGCGAAACAAAAAAGAAATAAGGCAAGAATCATGTGTTGCTCATGAATGCAATTATAGAACACCGTACACCGATTCTGCTCTTAGATGTAACGCATCTAAAAATAACTTAAACTTACTGATACAGATTGAATTTGTCACATAATTACACACCATACTATTCTGTAGCTTAGGCACTGCTTTGTAAAGAAACCCATTCACAGAAGCATCAATTGACAGTCACTAGATAAAATAATAAAATTCAGCAAAAAGATTAAAGTTGTTCCATATGACAAGTCACACAGGCCAGCCATCCTCTTCTTTTTCCCGCTCTGTCACATACGACAAACGACATTCACTTGAGGGATACAGCCCCACGTGTCAGTTACCATAATTCCCTGGGGATTAGCAATAATTCCACCCCTTTTCTCTTCCATTTAAAGGAGTAATCAGAAGGCAAACGAGCAAGCGTGCTGTCATTAAGGCCTCACCTTCAATCTGCTCTACTTCACAAAAAAAAGGAAGAGAGAAAACAGACAAATCACAAATGACCAAAGCTTTGTCATTAAAACACGTGGGAAAGCTCCCTTGCCACGGACGGCACAAATGTCAAAACTGACATGTCACGCCACGTGAGCTGGGCTCCACGATTCCAGCTACGTTAGTGGAAAATACAGTGAGCATCCGGTCTAGAACGTTTCAGAATAAGTTGGGTTAAATCTGCTCTGGCAAATAAATTCAAACAGCATTTTAGATACACATTCGGATGCACTACTTTTTCATTATAATTTCTCATGAGAATTTGGATTTG